CTGGTGCCTCGACCAGAGAACAGGAGTGTGTGCTTGTTTTTATAGGTGCCAGCTAACCAAGTTAAGAGGAAGAGAAGAGAAAGAGAAGAGTGAAGATGGTCAAGGGATCAGCAACTCCGAGCGACGGAAGCCCAGCGACGGCTGGAGGATCGCCTCTCGTGGAGTCGGACCCGGCGGATCAACGACTCATCGCCATGACGATGGAGGTGGGACGAACCGTCCAGTTCGACGAGGATGGCCAAGACCAGGAGAGCGAGAACGGAGACGCAAGTGAAGGAGAGTATGAAGAGAAGGCCGAGACCGCTGAGCTCGGAGAAACGAAGACTACCGCCGAGCTACTTGGCGAGGTGGAAGAGTTGACGCTGCAGGTGAGACGCATGGGAGCTCCACGTCCTGTCGAGCGCAACTTATCCGCCGAGCTCGACGAAGGTGCGGACGATGAAGAAGATGAAGAAGAACATGGCGTTGCTCAAGGGGACCGTCCGCCCCTTATTCCAAAAGCGACGAGGAACGCCGATACGCCGAGCGCCAATAAAGTGTTGGCTCGACTCGGCGAGGAGATGAGAACGAGATCGGAATGGATGATGATGTTCGCGCCTGTGGCGATGGCGCAGGCGAAGTGGCCGATGTTGGGTCCCGAGCTAACTCAGCCGGTGCGTGCAGCCAACATCAATCAGTTGGTGGAAGAAACTGTGTTGCTGTTGAAGGCGATGGGCTATCGGTGCAACAGCCGACCAAACAGCCTCATTCTGTCCGACTGGAGTCTGACCCGTGGCGGAGCCGAGCTCTGGCAATGGAAGAAGAAGCTCAGAGTGGCGTTTGGATTGGAGAAGGCCCCTGGCGGAACGAAGAAGGTGTACAGCCGAGTAGCCGAGTTCAAACCACTCGACGAGGACCCGAGCAAGATTCCTTTGCCGAAAACCCCGGAGACGAAGAGACGTGAAGTGTTCCGCGCTACGCAAGGGACTCCGTACTTCGAAGACTCTCACATGCTGACACCATTAAAGCTAAACCCGACTCAGCGAGCGCCGAGTCGTGGGCAGCGAAATGTAGGTCGCTATCGTGAATTGTATGACGCTGCAGATGAGGCTGAGGCTTACGAGGAGGATGAAGAAGACGGCGATGCCTTCGACGTGAGAGGTAACCGTGAAGAAACCGTGAAGGACTACATTCGAAACTTGAGCTTTGACGCGGCTGAAGAGGACTCGACGCAGTACCTAGAAGTCCGAACCCACGCCTCGCTCGACAAAATCGCTGAGCTCGAAGGAAAGCGCTACCGCTCTGACGCGTCGCTCCAGTGGCTCAAGCGGTTCATCTACGAGATGAAGAGCACCAGGATGCCCCAAAGTGCATGGTGCGAGCCTTTCTCGCTATGCTTGGGACGCGCGGCGAAGAGTTGGTACAGGCAGCTGCCGAAGAAGACTCAGCGACGTTGGAAACTACTCAGCGAGGCGTTCCTGGATTATTACTGCTCACAGTTCGACCAATCCGCCCGCACTCGTTACTACTCGGCGAGACGTAAAGTCAACGAACCGATCTGCGACTTCCTGATCCGACTCAACGGGTACGCTCGGACAGCCAAGATCCAGTACGAGAGGGGTGGCGCCGACGCAGCTGACCATGTCGAACACTTCTTGCTGCATTGTGGTGATGACGATGTGATGGATTTAATGTACCCCTTGCAGTTGGAAGACATCAGTAAGGTGGAACAGATAATCAATCGTCGGATCCTCGGCGAGAAGCGTAAGAAGCAACGCGACCGACTCGTGACCGCACGAAGCCGAGATGACAAGCGGAAGGATCAGAGCCGCCGAGATGAGAAGCGCAGTCGCAAGGAAGAAAACCGCGACCGCCGAGTCACTGTCGTTGACGCTGACTCCGACGGAGAGGAACTCATCGATCAGAACCCGCCGAGTCCGTACAACTCCGAAGACGAATGGGATGATGAGTACCAGTCCGGAGGACACGACTCAGCGGAAGACGACGACTACATTGACGCCGGCGTTTCCAATGATAAGGGAAATACACCGGACCGCCGAGAGAACTCGGCGGGAGACCAGAAAGGCTCGAACCGAAGCTGGGGAAACTCAGCGAACCGACCTCCGCGACCGTACAACCAACGAGAACAGTCGAATCGTGGAGATGGATCACGCGACAACACCCAACGAGGACCTTGTGCAGCTTGTGGAAGAATGGGGCACTCGGCTCACTACTGTCGACGACGCTGCAAATTCTGCAGACAAGTCCATGAAGACAGCTAGTAGAAGCGGTGCCGTCAATATGAGAAGCTGGCTGCGTTCGTGAAGAACTCTGTCGACAAGTCGCAAGTGCCAGAAGACCTGCAAAACCTTTACGCGCCGAGTGATTTAAACTCGGCGGCCCGCCAACACTGACTGGGTTGGAATATGCCGGGCTGCCACAGTCAGCTGAACCTGCAGTTGAGGCGAACTTCTTGTTTGCCTTCGTAGGCGAAGCAGGACGGCCCGAGGGAAGAAGCGGGGATGGCAATTGGATGTGTGAAATCGACGGAATTGAACGTGAGCTCGGTGAGTTAGATGATAACAACCGAGCGATTGCAAGTGTAACTCGGCAGTCAGACCAGGCTGTGCATCGTACCAGGATAATGAAGCTGCTTCCGGGAGAGCGGCTGGGATGGTGGTCAGCACAGACGTTTGATCGCCGAGTTAGAATGAGAGCCCTCGTATTGGGTGCAGTGAACGACCGAAGGACCAAGATATTATTGGATACCGGAGCAAATGTCTCGGCGATCAGTGAGTACTTCGCGAGGAAACTGCGTCTCAAGAGAGTGGCCAGCAGAGATAAGCGAATTGACATACAAGGAATAAGTAAAGACAGGATGGTGACAACGTCAAGAGCTGTGGTGAAGGTGACACTCGGCTGGGAAGTGGCATACGAGTTTGAAGTATGGATAATGCCTCATCATGCCGGAGTCGATTTGATTCTCGGCACCGACTTTATGATCCCAGCTGGAATACGTCTGGATCTGTACAACTCGGCGGTCAAGCTACCCGATGAGATGGTGATACCACTCATCCGGTCAAGTAATGCACCAACCAAGACCGAGTTCGGACCAAATGTACCATGCGGGCCACCAGACGGGTTGACGATCGAAAGTCGAATGACCGCTGAGTTCAAATTACCCAGGCGACAACCCAGTGAGTCGACGCATGACCTATGGGTGCGACGGACGAAGGGTTGGATTCCAACGGTTGTTTTTAATCGCCGAGGAAGACCAACCCATGTCCTGATTACGAACGTACGACAGACGTCAGTCTGGTGCCCACCTCACTTTTATGTGATAAAATGGCAACCACACGGAGTGCTGGCCAACGAGGGATATGTCCGCGTGAACTCGGCGAATACCCGTGACTGGCAGATATTGGCCTTTGAGTCGGCGATGGATAAAGATTTGCTGCAGAAAGAACAACGACTGTACGACGACTGGCTGTCACACCAGCCGCCAGCTGTGGAAAGACGAAAATACCCAACTCCGACGGCGGTGGAAAGACGATCTCCAGTGGAGAGTGGACCAGAGTTAACATGCGCCGAACGCTGGAGAAGGATCGAAGCCGACACTGAAGCCGGCAACTACGAGAAGCGTCGCGGTAACGCAGACGTCATATCGACTTCAGGGGTGACAAGGGGTGACCCGGCTATAAACTCAGCGTTCAAGCTGGAAGATGTCCGAGCGGACCATACGTCGGTGCTACACGATGGCCAAGATGTCTCCTATCAGCTGTCCAAGTTTGAAGACGATGGCGCCATTTCTGACGTCAACACGAGCTCAGCGGTCGAAGGAACAAGTGAAGTAAGGGCCACGGAAGACGCGTCGGCGACTGACGACTCAGCTATAACGGCAGGAGGCCTTGAAGAACGCTCGGAACAAGCCCTATGTGACGTTGAACCCGTTGCTGACAACCGAGCCAAGTACGGAATAATAGGACCAAGTTCTGCAGCCGTGGTGAACTCAGCGATGGGTACACCGGAAGCCTGCATTATCCAGTCGGCGGCGGCAGACTCGACGTCAGAAGATCTAAACACTGAGAGTGCCTCGGACGTGGTTACAGCATGTCGTCAGGATGTCAGC